GAACACGGCTTTCCGCACCTTGACAAGTGGATCTACCAAGAATAGCTTTTTCAGCCGTTACTTATTATATAATAGCTCGATCCGCTCACGCATGTGATTGATTTCTCCCCTCTCTTTCGAAAATCTTCCATTCGAACAGGAAGATTCCCTTCTCGCTGTGTATCCAGAACCTGAGGATGATGAGGATCTATAAAGGTTCTTTGATCGAGCTCTCGCTTTGGCTTCTTTTGTTGCCGAAGACCAGGACCCGTCTTATTTGCTGAAAACCTGTCTGTTTAGGGACTCTTTCCTTTCAATGGACATACTTGCCTAGAACTGATTCTACCTTGAGAGCGCTTCCCTCTTTTCTGATTCCTTCCCTTTGACCACCGAAAATACAACTTCTAATAGCCATTTCTATTTTATAGATGTTTCAAACAAGTGATTTTACACTTTGATCCTTCCTGTCTTTCCCCGATAGAGGAGTTTGACCCTTCCACTTCTGCCTTTGCCCTTTGTACTTCTTCCCGCAATTGAGATCCCTGTTAAGGAAGAATATCTCGCTTGTGCTTTTTTTGCGAGGAAATCGCTCTACTTTTTCCAGCGATGAGTGATTGAGTAAGGTCTAATTCAATCTGTGTTATGACCTACCTTTTTTGATTAAAGTAAATGAGAGCTTTACTTCTTCTTTTCAAACACTAAGATTTGAGCTCGTCCTCGGGTCAGATTCGGATTCTTTTCTCTCTTTTGAAATTCCATAGATATAGATGTCTCGACTGCCGAATCCGAATCCTTAGAACAACTCGATTCCGTTGATTCACTGTCCATTTGTCCTTCAACCGGATTAATGGTCAACGACTTTGACAGCCTTTCCTTCACACAAGGTTTTTAATCCATCTCCCCCGCTTAGGGCAGTAAGGGGAAGTAGCGATATTCTAATCCCTTCGTGGGGAATCAACGAAGGCAGCCGCTCCAGCAGCTTTAGTACTTAAGTTAACGCCCCAGCCCTTATCCCGCGATGAGAAGGTAGATGCGGTAAGCCAACTCCTATCCTTCTTGCGGAAAGGGCATTCAATGCCATCTTCATTCCCTTCCTTGCTTCGAGGAGCAGGTCGAATAGTCAAAGAAGGGGATGTCTAATTCCAGGAATAGAGTAGCATTCTCAAGCACTACCCTCCATTTTTTCAGTCCATATAAAACAGTCAATCTACCAGCAGCAGAGGCTGCAGATACATGTCCACCACCCGTTTATCTACTACCATAAGCGGGAGCAGTTGTAGGTAAAGAGTGTTGTGAGGGCTTTTATTTGTGCGTTAAGGGCAGTTTCTGTTATAGCACTAGAAATCTGTGTCGTTAGTCGAATGCTCGGAATGAAAGAATGACTATTTCCTTGCTGGAACATAATGACAACCGCAGGAATTCGGAATAAGACATGTTAAGTTTCTCCTCTTTCTGTCTAATGACTACTACGACATGCCTAAACTATAATATTCCTATGGAGTGCTGCCCATAGATTACGGAACACTTGGCATATGTTGATTGAGTCCCGGGTATAGCTCCCTCACTCGCTCTACTTTGAATCATGAATTAGCGTATGAAAAGCGGCGATCTTTCTCTATTTCTTCCTCTTCCACCAAAACAAACAAGTTGTTTTCGGGCGTCAGGCAAACTTAGTTCTTCGTTCCTCCGGTAATTGGATTGATATATAAGGATTGGGGTTGTCACCCGTATGCTTCTTATCTTTGGCTTCGAACAAGGGGAGTCCTTTCAAGCTTCATCAAATCCATGGCACAAGGTCTGTTTTTCATTATATAATCGAGCAAGAATCGGATTGTGAATTAGGATTGTATGCAAGAAGGGATTCGGAAACAGGAAAGCGAGTCAAGTAATCCGAATACGTAGCCACTCTCATTCTAATGCTTATATCCAGAACTAGTTCACTGAACAAAGGGACAGAACTACTGACTAAACTGTAGCGAGCTAATACCTAAACTTGAACTCTGAAATAGCACTCATTCATTCAATTATTTGAAGCTAAGGTGCGGGAAAAGAATACATAGGGTTAGATATGAACTAGTTGACTGTTCGATTGAGGGACTATGATGCATTTTACTCATGTTTTTATTCCATTCCAGGATTCATTCATATTCGACCATAACGAGACTCAATAACGAAACTAGGGCCCTTGCTTTCCCAACTGGAGCAGGAAACTTCCAACCAAATAGGAGGGACCCGGAAGAAGAGATAAATGACAACTATCTCTAGAGAATTGAAAAGAGGTGTCCGAACTATGTTATTGAATCGGCCATGAAAACCTAAAATGAAGGAATAGGGGGTCTGGGATAAGCATGTATTGGAGGTGGGTTTCCCAATAAGTCAATAGCTATCCTTCGCTATCTAGGGCTAGCTCACTCTATGAGATAAGTTTCATGTATGGTTCGAAGCAGTTAACTCCCTTTTAAGGAGCGATCGATCAGCCCCGACCATGACCGGTCTAGAATCTCTCTCATTGAGCTTCTCTTTTGCGCCTGCTTTCTTCTTGATTTATTGCAGCAGCTAGTCTCCCTTTTCCAAATTCGATTATAAGTGAAGTGAGTTATGTTTCAAGAAATTCCATCCATTTCATCGCCCAGAATAATACCCAGTCCTGCCAATCTCTACGACAATCTCTGGTTTAGTTTAGTTGATCTTTTTCTATTATGAAAAGCAAGGAAACACTAGTAATGGTGGAAACAGAACTTAGAAATCTAAGGCTGAAGGCTAGTTTCATTAACGAGTCTCACCTATTTCTTACTTCCCCTACCAGCCCTACCTACATCACCTTTCATATGGAACAGGCATGCTTTAGTGATGGGGCTAGCCGCTTTCACAAGAAATCAAACCAAACAAAGACACTTAGCATAGGAGTAGATTAGGGCATCTAGTGCTCTGTTCATCATCTGAGGACTCTAAGGTGCCAAGGGAAATAGCTCCATCCCATTGGATATCCCTAGCCTTGGTGGATCAGTGTAGTGAGAAAAAACTCTTCCATTCTATCTATGGTAGATAAAGGAGCTTCAAAGCCATAGCCATCCTCATGGCCTTTTCACTCTACAGCCGTTACACTTTTTTTTATTAAATGAAATAGTTCGTTTTCTCGCTCTTAACTCGAAAGTACTAACTAAATAGGGGCACGGAGAAATAAAGAAGTGTGGGGGAGAAGCAGCCGAGCTCATTCCCTTCCATTCCTGCTCTATAGTAGGGGTTATGTCCCCCTTTCCTAGTGAGAGCAATACGCAATGCTGCTATGAATAGAGATAGTGCCCTATCCACTGCAAAACGGTACTCTGCTTCAACCACACGGTATGGCTCCCTCATTTCAAACCAAGCTGTAGACCGAGTAGGAAACAGCTAATGGTTCCGGTCCAAAGGTAAGACTGGTTCTCCCGTTCTTGGTACTGTGTCATGTGACTCTAAAGCCCCAACTAGGCTAGATCGAGATCTTGGTCCTTGCTAGGCTTACTCGCGTAAATAACCCCCATGTCTAAGGTGTTCTCGGGGTAAGCGAGTCAGTACAATCGGTTGCACAACCGTCCAGTCCATATCATAATTGTCATAATCAATCATATCAGTAGGTGGCATACTTGCCTGCTCAAGTCCATCTACTATGGATGTGGGCTTGGACCAAGCCATCCCCAAACACTAAACCGGATCTTGAAAACGAGACTGAACTGAATCCAACTTCTTGGTAGCCCAGTGGCTTTTGGTCCCCATCGGAAAGTGCTGAATGGATTGCTCCTTGCCCAACGACAAAAAGAAAGAAATTTAGGAGAGGATTGATAGGTTTAAGTATTCAGGGTTGGTCGCTCTTATGGATACCTGTGAGCTAGAGTCGGGAATCGAAAAGGAGACAACGGAAGCCGTACAGATCTATTTGGGAATGATGTTCATGCAGTGGAGAGCGTAAATGACCGGCCCTTGAGGCGCGAGTAGACTTATCATATAGAAAGGAAAGAGATAAGCGGAGGGAGGATGGTTTGATGATAGCCAAGATCTCCATCTCATTTGTCACTCTCGTATTCTTAATAGGAATCGGCAAGCAGATACAACCACTAGGCCATTGCCATTCGACTAGTCTATCAGAGTATCCTACAAAGTCAGGTCCAGTAGGCGCAGGATGCGCTAAGCCATTCGATCTTCTTGCTGGTGGTCCACCATAGAGCTCCTATGTAGCCGTTTGTTTTCTCGCTTAACTAATTTGTATGAGGCGATACAGCTGAGATCAGCCAACGGTTCGAGCACTTAGCACAATGTGCCACTTAACCAGACGAGCGCAAGACCGGGTCTACCTACCTTATGACATTTATGAAAAACGAACGTTGTATTAAGGGGTTTCTATCAGTTAGTAACAAAGCCGGCAGTATCCTTGAATTCAGGGGTCAGCTACAGGAGGTATGTCTCCATATGTGCCGAAGAAGCGTCTATCATTGTACGCTGTTTATCCAATCCAAAACTGATTCGTTTAGTTGGTAGAACCCAAGCCAATATCGTATTGACTCTCTCTCGTCCAATAAGAGTTTCCGAGAGTTACTTTATTCAAATTCTCTCCTTTCCAAAGCTCCACAAGGAAAAAAGAGTAATAGGACAACAATATTGCTTTCATTTATTTTGAGTTCTTTCTTTGTTGAGATGGAAATCGACGTTCTTTTGAAAAGGGCTAGGTAGTTTGCGTGCAGGCAAAACTTCTTCGTGAAAGGTCAAAAATAGACTTGGATTTCATGGGTTTCTTAATGACTAGTCGTTCGTTTGAAGCCTTAAGAAAGCGGCAGAGAAAGCGGCAGTTTTTTTTTCGAATGACCTTATTTCGAGAATCAACTAACCGACAAATCCGTAGCCCAGGTGATTCACTGCCTCCCTCTTGCCAAAATGGGATGAATCTTCTCATGCAGCTTTTTCATTATTCAGGGCACAGCGAAGCCAATTTCCATCAAGGCAAGGGGGTAAATAAGGGGGAAGAGGAGTTGTAATGATAGAAAAGAGAAATGACTATAAGGAACCAACGATTCTCTCTTCTTAAACAACCTATATACTCCACACTTAACCGGCATTTGATAGATTATCCAACCCCGAGCAATCTTAGTTATTGTTGGGGGTTCGGTTCGTTAGCAGGTATTTGTTTAGTCATTCAGATAGTGACTGGCGTTTTTTTAGCTATGCATCACACACCTCATGTGGATCTAGCTTTCAACAGCGTAGAACACATTATGAGAGATGTTGAAGGGGGCTGGTTGCTCCGTTATATGCATGCTAATGGGGCAAGTATGTTTCTCATTGTGGTTCACCTTCATATTTTTCGTGGTCTATATCATGCGAGTTATAGCAGTCCTAGGAATTTGTTCGGTGCCTCGGAGTTGTCATATTCCTATTAATGATTGTGACAGCTTTTATAGGATACGTACCACCTTGGGGTCAGATGAGCTTTTGGGGAGCAACAGTAATTACAAGCTTAGCTAGCGCCATACCAGTAGTAGGAGATACCATAGTGACTTGGCTTTGGGGTGGTTTCTCCGTGGACAATGCCACCTTAAATCATTTTTTTAGTCTCCATCATTTACTCCCCCTTATTTTAGTAGGCGCCAGTCTTCTTCATCTGGCCACATTGCATCAATATGGATCAAATAATCCATTGGGTGTACATTCTGAGATGGATAAAATTGCTTCTTACCCTTATTTTTATGTAAAGGATCTTGTAGGTCGGGTAGCTTCTGCTATCTTTTTTTCCATTTGGATTTTTTTGCTCCTAATGTTTTGGGGCAACCCGACAATTATATACCTGCTAATCCGATGCCCACCCCGCCTCATATTGTGCCGGAATGGTATTTCCTACCGATCCATGCCATTCTTCGCAGTATACCTGACAAAGCAGGAGGTGTAGCCACAATAGCACCAGTTTTTATATCTCTCTTGGCTTTACCTTTTTTAAAGAAATGTATGTGTGTAGTTCAAGTTTTTGACCGATTCACCAAGGAATATTTTGGTTGCTTTTGGCGGATTGCTTACTACTAGGTTGGATCGGATGTCAACCTGTGGAGGCACCATTTGTTACTATTGGACAAATTCCTTCTGTCTTTTTCTTCTTGTTCTTTGCCATAACGCCCATTCCGGGACGAGTTGGAAGAGGAATTCCAAAATATTACACGGATGAGACTCATCGCACCGGATCCTTTTCTCCTTTTGGCCATAGCCATATAATGAACAAGACTATTTCTCCTTTTGGCCATAGCCATAGAAGAATCTTCTCCTCTGGAGCAGGGGGACCGCCTGACAATTACAAAGAAACCTTTAAGGGGTGGCTTTTGTGCTCGGAATATAAAGATTTCCCTGGTTTAGAGTGCAAGATAGACTCACTTCTTTCATTCCTGGAACCTGGGGAGATCCTATTCATGGTACGCACGTTCCCCGGGGACTTTTCTCTGCTCGAGATCTTGGAGCCCAAGGATATCCGAAATATCATTTCTCACTCGCACAAGCAGTGGAAGCCACCCAAAGCGGAGGGAGGGGAATCTCAGGATTCCTATAACCCTGCTTATATAGATTTTTAAGAGCTCGTTTAGGGTTTTCTCGGGTTTGGTACCAAATCTGGATAAACTCCTTTCGGTTCTTAAACCTGAGGAAATTCTATTTCTGGCTTTTCTCTTCCCGCGGGATGCGAACATGTTTAAATTGCCCCTAAAGAAGATCAAAGATATGATTCAAGAAGCAATGGCTAAAGAGGAGGAAAATAGAGAAAAGCCTCCGGTGGAAGGTTGTGAAGACCGTCGTATGACGGAGGAGGAAAACAGAGAAAAGCCTCCGGTGGAAGGTTGTGAAGACCGTCGTATGACGGAGGAGGAAAGGACAAAATTGCTTGAAGCATTTTCTTTCCTATGGGATAAAAACAATGAATTGGAACTATTGAGTGGTGTAGGTATCCATCTTAGCAAATAGAGATACCGAGGCCCACCGACCTACTACTTGTTGGTTTGGTGGGGAAAGAGGAGTGGGTATGAGGGCTTCTTTGTTGTTTTTGTGCAGAAATCAAAGTTCTCGGATTGATCTGAAAATTTACAGAGAATTTTTATGGAATATATAAAAAATATTGGCGGAAATAGATACCAGAGGGGGCCACCCAGGAGCCACAAACTCTGGGGCGCGCCTCCCAGGCTAGTGGGCCCTCTAGACCTTCGCAATCCTAACTCCAACTCCATATATACCTATTCGCGGAGAAAAAATCAGAGAGAAGGATTCATCGCGTTTTACGATACAGATTCACCGTCACCTCCTGTTCTTCATCGTTAGGGTTGATCTAGAGTTCGTTCGGGGCTCCGGAGGGTGGAATCCGACGTCGTCGTCATCATCAACCTTTCTCTGTCACCAATTTCAAGATGCTCACCACCAGGAGTGAGTAATTCCTTTGTAGGCTTGCTGGACGGTGATATGTTGGATGAGATTTATCATATAATCGAGTTAGTTTTGTTAGGGCTTGATCCCTAGTATCCACTATGTTCTGAGATTGATGTTGCTATGACTTTGTTATGCTTAATGCTTGTCACTAGGGCCTGACTACCATGATTTTAAATATAAACCTATTATGTTTTCATGAATATATTTGTTTTCTTGATCCTATCTTGCAAAGTTATATGCACCTATTATGAGTTAAGATCCGCATACCCCAAGGTGACAATAATTGGGATTATTTCTGGTGATTACTATAGTTTGAGGAGTTCATGTATTCACTAACTGCTAATGTTTTGTTCCGGTTCTTTATTAAAAGGAGGCATTAATATCCCTTGATTTCCTTATGAACCCCGCTGCCACGGGAGGGTAGGACAAAATATGTCATGCAAGTTATTTTCCATAAGCACGTATGACTATATACGAAATACATGCCTACATTACATTGATGAATTGAAGCTAGTTCTGTGTCGCCCTAGGTTATAACTGCTACATGATGAATATTATCCAACACAATTATCCGTCGATGATCCAATGCCTACGAGCTTTTCACATATTGATTTTTGCTAAGTTACTTTCGCCGTTGCTACTGTTACAATCACTACAAAACTGTTATTATTTCTATTTCCACGGTTATCGTTATTATCATACTACTTTGCTACTAAATAATTTGTTGCAAATATTAAGTTTTTCAGTTGTGGTTGAATTGAAAACTCAACTGCTAATACTCACGAATATTCTTTGGCTCCCCTTGTGTCGAATCAATAAATTTGGGTTGAATACTCTATCCTCGAAAACTGTTGTGATCCCCTATACTTGTGTGTTATCACGCTGCGGACCGATACAGGACCGCGTTGGATGGCTTCCGCTATCCGGACGAATGCGGGGGGTTTGAGGGTCGGCATTGGAGATGCTTCTCTTCATCGGCAGTGGTTTCTGTTCTGGTGCGCCAGTCCTATGGGGCATTAGCACGATGACTTTCCAACTGTCTACTACTACAAATTTGCGTGGATCCGATGAGGGAGGGGCAGAGACAGCGACATGCCTTCGATTCGCTCTAGTGTTGATAGTCGTCGCTTGGTGGTCTACGAACCTAGATGTATTTTTTACTTCTGATGTCCTTTGTACTATCTTGACAGTTGATGAATAGATTGCAAGTTATCCTGAAAAAAAACTAAGCAAGCAACGTTTTTTTAATACCAAACCCATACCTCCTAATTTAATTTTTTTATTAAACTATATATGGCAAACACATAATGGATAAAATGAATCATGTATTCCTATGTGGTGCAACTAGACGTACCATTTTAACCTTTTTTTTTTGAGGAAATGCCATCATGACTGCTTTATTGAACTTGTAATAAGGTTACATCGTTTGTAAGATCAAGAACTAGAAAATTTGGGGGTTCATCGACCCACTTACAGGAGCTATTACTATTATAAGCATACTTAGCTAGGCTGTGTGCCACCATATTTGCTTCGCGATTACAGTGTAAGAAGTGCACTGAACCAATCATGCCTGCTAAGATAAAACATTCTGCATAAATCGTTGAGGCTCCATTCCATATTCATTCTTGCCCTGAACAAGCATCAATCACTTCAATTGAGTCCGATTCAATCTGAATAGACTGGAATCCTAGTTCGTTTGCTAGCATGAGGCCATATTTCATTGCTAGACATTCCGCTGTGTGTGCATCCTGAACATGGGGAATTAGTGTACCATTTTAACCTGGTTGTGCTATTGTCTTCCTTCTCCAGCCACTATCTGTTTTTTAGTAGGTGGAACAAATTCAATATGTTCCCTACAAAAAAATTGTAATTTAGTCCATGTCTGGTGGCCCAGCCAACCAAAAACTCACATGGTGGCGCAGCCAACCGAAAACTGCACTAAATGCCCTGAGCCAATGCCTACTGATGGGACGAGTATGGGGAATTCTTAATCGCATATACTCGGACGAGTTGACTATATTTCGCCTATTGTGAGATGTATGGCTCGGTCGCCTATATATCGTCCCAATCTAGGACAGCCAAGTAGTAGACCGCATGCACATTTTCCTCCTGTCTTCTTTTTTGCACACCGATTTTTCGTCAGGTTTTACTTGCAAACCTGTTTGTTCTTATCATTTTCATCTTTTTTAATTATCTTTTATTTTCTATTACTTTTGTATTTTTCCTATTTCATTTTTGTTTTATTTTATTTTCTGTTTTTTATTTGTGTATTAAAAAGTATTCATCATGTACTTTTAGAAGTATTCATAGTGTATTAATATTTTATGGTGTTTGAAAATATTCAGCATAAATTAAAATATATTGATCGTATTTTAAAATGTTCATCATGTATTTAGAAAATATTCATTGTGCATTAAATAGTGCTCGTTGTATATTAAAAATGTACCTTATCTATCTCTAAAAATAGCCGTTGTCTACTTAGAAAAGTATTCACAATGTATTAAATAATGGCTAATAGTGGGAGGCTTATCTACGCTTTGTGGAATATTTGGAAGGAGAGTAGCAGGCGTATTTTCACAGGTTCTGCATGACGTACTATGAGGTGGCAATGCTATGACGATATCAAGCAAAGAGAGAGAGCGTTTGGTATTGACGTATTCCCTGTAGGTGTGGCCTAAGCTCGTATCCGTCATATTTACTACGGTTGGCCATGCTCCCTTCAAAACGTGTGCATCTCTTCACACATGGGTTTTTTCTCCTATTTCTTCTATACGAAAAGGGAGTGCCCTTGTCGGTTCTTCAAAAAAAAAAAAACAATGGTTAGCATGTACTCCCTTCGTCTCAAAATAAGTGTTTCAATCTTAGTATAACTTTGTATTATGGTTAGTATAAAATTGAGACACTTATTTTAAAACGGAAAGAGTATGTAAAAATCATCTCTCGCATTGCATAAATGTTCCGTGTATATTTAAAAAATATTTATTAT